CAGGTTTACTCACACTCCAGATGATTTGATACAATTTCGTGTGATTTTACTTAGCGAACTTATCCGAATAGCAGGATGGTGGAAAGTGAGACGAGGGAAACATGCCTGAAATACATAAAGGCTCTCAAATGTAAGTTGCAAACGTCCATGATTCCAGATCTTGTTTATTTACGTGCATGTACTCTCCTCACTTCCTTTAAATGGAGCATGTTTGCAATATATGTTTTGATATAAATTTTAATGTATATGTATATATCTACATTTTACATAATATGTTTTGAGTATATTTACCTTTTTATATAATATGCATATGTCATACAAAGCTCAAATTATAATTAATGGTTATTGCATCTGAATTAATGATTAACAATCAGATTGAGGGATTAAGAGTCGTTCCTTTTTTTCTTCTTTTAGCAAAAGGCGCAGTGGTTCCCGAGTTTGTCACAGGTCTTACCGTATTACAAGAGGAAGCTGCAGCAAGAGGGTTAGATGACGATATTCTCACGAAGCTCATAGATGTTATTGTACATATAGATTTAGGTTGGTATCTCGTCAATAATACATATTAACGTTGTAGTATTTCATCAATTTGAAAGACTACATGATCTTTATGTACAAGTTCGTAAATTAACTGAGCTCCAAATTTATGTATCAGGTGCCGTCAAACGGGTATCGCTAATCAAATGTCTGATTCCAAGGCATAAACTGTCCGAGGAAATAGTGAAGTCTGTGATCACCTGGTGTCTATCTTCGTTGAATAATCTACCGTTTACCGTTTGTGTGATTGTTATACAATGGATCATAGGTAATTTAATTCTTATACCAAGACCTTATATTGATTATAAAAATATATTGAAACTATTGTTAATGTTTAGGTGTATGGGATTACGAATTAGTAGATAGAAAAGTAATCAACATATATTATGACGTCTTCTTCTATACTATGCTCAAGAAACAGAAACTGGTAATATATATATCCTTTTTTACATGAATATTTAAGAAGAGAAATGTTAAAATGTGACTTGATTTTCTCAGCATTATATGTTATTAAGAAATTTTTTAATTATTTTGGAAACAATAAAAGTTTGTCTTTTAATATGTATTTTAATGTGTATGTATCAAAATGTAATGATTGAAATACATTGCTTAAATTAAGCTTTAAGTCAGTTTAATAGAGTATTCTGTATTATGTATAAACGTGAATTTCAGGAACGTTATATAGCACGTCTTATCTACGTGCTGACAAAACCGGAAGATGTTTCTCGCAGAGATGTCTCGAGATTATTGGCGCTTCAAAAAAATTATTCCAAACCTCCAACACATATTATTGCATTACTTTCGTAAGTATAATTGCAAATTTGCTTTATTAGTAAAGAAACTGTTCTTTTTAATAATTAATTATTGAACACGTGTTTGTAGCTTATTTAAGTCGTATAAACCAGAATTGGTTCCCGAGAAAATACAATCGGTGAATATAGAAAGTGTGTGGAAACCTATACCCGAATTCATACGATTAGCATTGGAAGATGCCAGAGATCGTGCGGAAATTCAACAATCACGTCACACTCGAGCTTATTTTGATTGGAACGTGATGCAGGTACAAAGAAATATGCAGATGTATCGTAATATGTATGATAGTATGAGTTTAAGATAGACTATAAAAATTGTCATGCGTATAGAACACGAGAGCTCAAAAAAAGAAAAAGATGCTTCTACCATCGGTTGGTTATTTTCACATTGGTTCAAGTATTTTTAAAGATAAATATGCAAAGTCAATTTTTGATATAAGCAGGTGAGTATAATATACCTGAAATAACATATGTCACATATTAATATTAATATATAATATTAATACATATTAACATAATATGTGTTACATGTACCAGTATAGAAGAGTTAGGAAAGTATCATCAGACTGTTCAATTGCCTTGTAATGCCGTTTCACTTTTGGCAAATATGGTTGGTTACCATCTTCTTACATATGCAGATTTTCAATACCAAAGTAGATTTTCGTATAATCTTTATAATACGCTTACAAGAGGTATGTATCTATATTTTGATTATTTTACTGTTACTAAAAAAAAACTAATATAAGCTTTATGTACTGTTATGGTATATTATAGTCAGTATGTTAATGTTTTAGCATTTATACTGGAAAATGGAAAGTTTTCTGAGGAAGAAATGGATAAATTTTTAACTATGACAGTCGAATTTTCTCGATACATGCAAGAAGGGATACTTATAGTTAAACTGTTTTTTGATGAATATTTATATTACAATTCAGGAGAGCATCTGCCAAAGTTACTCGATTTGCTGCCATGGATGACTTCTATATCAGTAACTGGTAACTACGAAGATATTCTAGCCTTTAAAGTGTTGAAACTTTCAAATGTTGAAATGTTAAATTAAAATATTATATTTTCAGAGTTACGAGAAAACATTCTGATACATGTGCAAAACATATTTTATGAGTCAAGTTTAAATGTAAAATGTGAAATAATTAGATCTCTGCAGAAACTAATGACAAACTTGGTAAGGATTGGATATTATTTTGACAGAAGTATGCAAAACTAGTTTTACGGAATACATTTACGTTTATAGTTTATTTTCTTTACATATATATTATTGTTACATTAATGTGACAATTTATTACAGTTTGTAAGACAAGGTCTTGAAGAACAAGGTCAATATGCATCGTCCTTTTTGCGACAAGGTCCATTGGAAGATTTAGCAGAAATTGTGCCTGTGCTTACAACGATATCAGAAAATCTGATTGTTTGTGGATTAAACATACACAATTACAATATTATATTGTTATCAGAAATTTTGGCATTTTATGAAGAGGTATATACAAAAATCAAATTACAAATAATGTAGCTGAAATGTTTAATTGATTGATTTTTTATTATTTATTTGTTTTGTTTCAAAGATCTGTACATTAGAAAGCCGTAGTTATGTATCATCTTGGACATTGCCGCCACCAGCAGTCATCAATGGAGCATTTATTACGAAGAGTTGTGCTATTTTATCGAGAGTTTGTAGATTATTACTAAGGTATTGATTTTATTTAATATTTTATTGACTTTCAAGTTAATTTTATTCTATATTATTGATACTTGGATTACAGATATCGCCAAATGAGTTCACATTTATGCCAGATTATGTCATCGGACGTGTATCAAGAAAAAGTTCGCATTATATCTATTTATGCAAATGATATTCATAAAGCATTATGGTATGATGAGGTATGTACGAAGAAGAAATAATAAATGCTAAACTCGTACAGATATGTATAAATAAATAAAACTCAAAGAATTGTTTAAACAGCCTTTTAGTGACCGAAAGAATGGTAACCTTCTGAAAAGTCTTTCAAAAAAAGTGATTGATGATTTAGGAGACTGTGATCTAGACACCTTATTGAATATTAGCAATCATTATGCTATATTATCCTACAGATGCACAATGAATAAACAGGGCCTAAATATAGGTACAAAAGAGGTAAGTGCCAAAATATCTATTATACATTTTTTATTTCAAATTTAAACGATTTGTAATTTATTGTGAGCTAATATGTCACAGGAAATTTTAAACTACGATTTTTCAATTTATTAAAAAAATTTTTTACTAAAAAAATTACATATATTACTATTTAATTTTTAAAACAAATATTTGGATTTGACTTTTTCATGCGTACATTTACTCTTAACGTCTTTTAGAGATGTCTTTCATTTCTTTTTTAGGATGCTAAGATCTTGGCTTTGCACTACTATCCTGCAGTAAACGAATTTCTCGCTGCGTTTCATGAAGATGTACTTGAAACTTAGGAGAAAAAGAACGGATCATATTTTTTATAATATGCATCAAGCATCAACAGCAAATTAACTAGCGGAGCAAATAAATGTAAAGATAATTAAAGAGTCAGTTATTAAGGTTTTATATATTTCTAAAAATGTCAATTCGTTGCAAAGTATCGATTAAATCTGTTGTCAAAGTGTTAGCATACTGTCAACACTTGTTAGGATAGTTATATTTATTAATATGCATTATTACGAGAGAAATGATAATGTACATTATTACTTGAATCAATTGTGGATATACTTAGTTTATAATATTTTAATAGAAACTATTTATGAAATATCTTTTAATAATTCTTTTAAATATTTGACTAATAAATAATCACATATAAAAAAACATTTACAAATGCTTTATATTATTAATATGTTATAACATTCAATAGCCGTAACACAATTTAAATTAGTTACTATTTTTTGCTTGATGAAAATGCACTATAATATTTTTATCAAACTAATATTTTGGTTTTACTTAATATCGTATCAGTTCACAAAAGTTCGATAAATACGTACTTTTCCCATTATGTGTAACGACCTAATTACGGTCGTTTTTATTCCCAATATATGGCAACATATTGAGAGTGGGGTCCGAATTATTAATGACAATAGAGAGATCATCTTACTCTCTATTGCTGTCTCATTCAGCATTTAGTGACGTTCAGCATTAACGGTCCAGCAGTGCACTACATAAGATATATATCCAGAGTCTATTGTAATACATAAAAAGGTAATATATGACTGAACGTAAAAATTTTATAAAAAGAATTGAAATAAATAAACATAAATTGTATTAATTGCATATCACACATATAAAATACTGAAGCATTGATTATGTACAAGTATAAAGAAAATAAAAAATATAATTTAAAAAAGAAAGCGTTTTTTATAAATATCACAATAAAATTTTTAATTTTTTAAAACTAAGATTCGAGAGGAATTTCACTTTTTTTAAAATTCATAAATATTACATATGGATAAGGCCACATACGCCGATATGCTATTTTATTAGATATTAATATAAAAATTAAATGCAAACAAAAGGAAACGTTTCTACACTAATCACGGAAATTAAATATATGATAGAATTTATTTTTGTCATTACACTCTTCGACAATGTCTTATCGTTCAACTTCTTTATTCGCTTAAACTTTAATTCCTATGATTAATAACGCAAATAGCATTTATTTCCAATAATGTAAACAAAATGTGTCCTAGTTTGTGTCACATACTCTTTAGTGGATCTAGTCTTACATTTTCTAATTGAATACACTAAGGGCAGTGACTTTAGCTTAAATCGTAAAAAATTTGCTCAGTGTAAAAACAATATATACATTATGAAAATTATGAAACTCTGCTTTAACTAATTTTAACGAATATATAATGTCATATGGCACGAACAGATTAATCATTTAATAAAATATCGGCCATACCTTCCTTATCGTATTCTCTTGTACTTAATGTGTGATAAGATATTTATATGATATTCACATAATTAATTTTTCCTATTAACGAATTACGCAAGTCTTTAATAATCTTTCTATATATTTTTACCAATATATTGCTTTTCTTCAGCTAAGTGCAAACGAAAGGTTAAACTTTGTGTACATGTGAATAATCGCGAAGCATAAGAAAGACAACGCATTTTATATTATACCCTCAGTGTAACGTTTTGCACAATATCCGATATACATCTTTATAATAAAAACTGAGTTCTAAAAATACGATTAATTAGATTTGCAAAGTCGTGTGTAAAAATATTTCTTTTCATGAAAATATTTTATGAATGGGCAAAATAAACATCGTCGTAGGCTGTTCAGGTGACACTTTAGATTTTTCAGGAAATTAATATTTATGAAAATGACATGATTCAAATGCGCTTATCATAATATCATATAAGGATACTGTAAATGACAAATAAATACTTATGATGTGTATGTATTAATGCGTATGTAGAGATGACTAATACAAAAAAAAACAGTAACTAACGCTATAACAGGTCCTATCGCATTATTTATGTCTTTGTTGCAGATTCTAGAATATGCAATTCCAGTCATTATATATGTATATATAAGTCAAAAATAAATATCTCATTGAACACAATACATTCGTTTCGTATGTTTAAACTTGCGATTTTAAGAAGTACCTTTCACAAAACACTAACACAATGAACTTCTATAATTTCTCTAAAGAATATAGTTTGTCACAGTTCTAAATTAATGTCACGATTTCTTTCATTTTCTTACATTTACGCAAATAAAATAAACACTATTGTAATACGTGAATCTTAATTCATGAATACTGCAAACCAGACGACATCTTTTGATGTAATAGACATTTTAAAACCAAATTTAACCATTACATCGTTTACACCCACAAAAACAGCCCGTATTCGCCCAAACAATGCAAAATGATCTTATCTGTTTGTTAACGTAAAATTTTGATACTTAATGATATGTGTTCTAAAAATAGAAAAATACACAAAAATTTATCATAATACGTATAACAAAATCTTGAAACGAAAGGAGTTCATACAAGTTTTTGGTTAATTATATAAAAATGACATGTTTTTTTATTAAGATTTAATTTTTCTTACTCATCGTATTCTTATGCTATCGTCAATATAATTTTTTACGTAGGTTTACTATAGTTTAAGATATTTTAACAAATGTGCAGGCGTATATTTACATGTGCTTATAATATTTAAACGATTCCTACCAATATCTCGTATAGAAAATTTTGTAGATATAAAGATACAAAACAAAATTTGAACATTTAAAAGACATACTAAGAGATATTAAAGTAGGAATATAATAATAATAAACTATGAGATACATAAATATCTTCTTGAGTAATAGAAGTTATTTGAGCGAGAACGAGCTGTTGGCAGTACGGAATTATATTGATTGGTATGCATTTTGCAGAATACAGAATCTAAATCATAAAATAAATGATTTTTTGATCAGTGGAATACATTCTATAAAATATTGATTGGAAAACTAAAATATTTTTGGCCATATTCCAATCGATTGTAAACACTGTGGAAGTTAGTACATAAAGTCGTGTGTTTCATCCTGATTACCTTGTCTTAAATTTTGAATATCTATCTTTGGCACAATATGTTAATTAAGCGAAAACTATAATTAAACATGAAATAAATGGAAACATAAATGTACAGGCCATAATTCACATGCACATATGCATAATACGTATGCATGTATGCATAAACAATGTGCACTTCTTTTTAAACCTGTACTCATCACTTGTCCAAAGAAGCATATATATGAATTTTGCCTAATGATAAATAAACTCCAAAAAAATTAATGAATTTTATAATTAAAAACGTGTTCTACGCACATTTAAATATACATACATACATACACACATACAGTGTACGTATATATGTATATAGATGGCGAAGATACATCCATATGTAAAGTTTTATATATTTATACGTATATAAATACAAATATAAATATATATTTATATTTACATTTGTAAATATAATATATATATATATATATATTTAATAAATACCATATATATATTCATATTTACATGTGTAATACACCATGTGTGTATTACACATTACATATATATCTATATTTATATTTATAACGTGATATTGCTAACAAAAGTAACTATTTAGGATATCATTTTTAAGATGATGATCAGTTCAGTTGATGTGTACTTGATAATTATGCCCCTGTGTATATCCGTACACGTAAGTGCATATGTGTATCTATTTTTATCCCTAACACTCACACATTTGTCCATGCACTATATAGAAACGACTTTACGCTTCACTTCACTTTTAGCAATAACACTTTTGTACATCGAGCAGTATGTATCTATTATATCGAAAGAACGAGATATAGACAACAGTTTCACATTTAACAGTAGAGCGATAAAATAAAACAGATCAGTCCCAACTGCCCTCACTTCCTACTTCGTCAAGTGCGTCTTCTGCATCAGAGATCATACTTTCATACGAGATATCTGGCTCATCATCTAGGAACTCATCCAGTTTTCTTTTGTTCGAGTTTAACTTGCGTTTCTTCGCTGACAACGCAAGCTCGTCCTCTACTGATCGCTCCTTCCGGAACTCGTAGACTAGTGGATAAATATGTTCAATTGCCGCTTGGACTGAAGCAACGTTAGGTGCTGTAACATAACACAGAAATATATATTATAAAGTGGCTTTATGTCAGTTAATTTACTCATCAAATATAAACATTGGAATATAATTTGATATTTATGATTTAAACATGTAAATTTAATATTTAACTTTTCATGATATATTCAGTTTTTTTTATTCAATTAAAACTTTTAAGCAGTATTGCATTGTAAAACAAAAAAAAAGATCAAATGTAAAAATATTGATCAGTGCAAAAGTATTGATTTATTTCGATACAATCTAGTTTAATTTCTTGTATATTTCTGATATAATTTTACATGGTCAGGAATATAAAGAGATTAAAACTCTTGATAATAAAAATAATATATCAAAAGTTAACAAGCCTCTGTACAGTAACAAAACATATAAATACCGACCTGTTACAGTAACACTTCCTGTAGAAAATATCTTCAGAGTAGCTTTTGGTTCTTTTAACTTATATGTAACACCAGGGTGTAATTCCGGTTCATAACTGTATATCACATGAAAATATTTATATAACTATCGTGCATTCATGTATTTCTATTGTATAATTATTAACTAATGCATTGATAATAATTTGAATAATTTAGATTCTTTATTCATTGATTGATTGAGAATATCGGTAAAATAATTTAATAATTCTTTAAACAAATTGAAACAATACTCATAGTATGCTATAATTTTATTATTAATTGTCCATTCTTTTATACTTACTCAGCATTTTGTTTGTGATGTATCGAAAATGATGTTATCTTGATGGCAAATGGCATACAACAAGTGCCTAATACATTGACCACCCTATAATTATTAAATCTCACTTCAAATCCAAGTTTTTGAAGGCAACGAGCAAATCTGCGTGCCGCGATTTTTGCTTGAATCTCACTGGTTGCGCCAGTGCAAGTTACTTTACCAGATGACCAGATGGATGCTGTAGTATATGGTCTCCTTAATTTCATCGTTATCATCTAAAAGTATCACAAACAGAAATCAATATATACGCTTTACATATACACTTTAAGATATACTTTAATATGTACTTTAAATATAGCCTTTTTATTCTGAATATATTGTGTTTATAAACAGAATATATTAAATAATAAATTAAAAATATATATTTAATGATTATAAAAAATCAAGATGCTCTCTTTTTATGTACTATCATACAATTAAAAGTTTTTATTTACAAACTAAAATTTTTAAGTGTTACAGACCAATAAACTTAGACTCAACAAAATAAATTTTCTAATTACAGTTCAAAATTAACCATATTTTAAACTTGAAAAAAATTATTGCTCCAACAATTTATTTTTCACGATTTTTTATTTTTCACATTTTTTTTCACAATTTTTTTTTTTTTTTCAATACCTTCGATTAGAAGATGAATGAGAAATCCTTTACACGTAATAATCAGTATCAAGAGTATTTTATTACAACTGCTGTAATCTAATATGTATAAAGTGCTGAGTCAAGAAAAAAGATGTTTCAAGTTACAATTGTAGATTGTAACCAAGAACTACAAGTCTCCAGTAATCATAATAGTTTTTGAAAAAGATATTGTGACGATATTATCTTTTTAATTAGAAACCAATTTTTTCTTAATGTAATGAAATATATAACTCAAAATAAAGATAAACTCTGTATAAATTAGAGGACCCATTTAAAATCCATTGACTATTTGAACCATATTTTTCAAAATTTAATTTTTCTTCTTAGATATTAGCTTGTAATTATATAATAATAATAATAATCATTTCTTAATATACTGGATAATTCATTGCTAGAGCAGTTACTTATCAAGCAAAAGATACTGATTCAATTCTCAAAATTTCACATATATAATACTAGAATTTTGAAGAGAAAAATATTTCACTATGGTAGAAACAAACTACTCGAAACGTGAATTTAATCCCAAGATGATTGCGACAAGTCGTAATACTGCCTTGCCCTCTTGTGAGAAACCTTAATAAAACAATAAATAATAAATAATTCAAACAATAAATAAATTTGAAAACAAGTCTAGTCCTCTATAGTGGAAATTAAGCAAGAGGCTTACAACACATTCTGATAAAAATTGCAAATGTAATGAAACTAGTGAGAAAGTCAAGATTTATATAGGGCTAGCGCTTTCATCTTGGAAGTTTTGATTCATCGAAGAACTACGACGCAACGAAAGAAGAGAGAATAATCATTTCTTGTAGAGAGTGCAAATATATAAAAATTATCAGCACATACCCCATTTTCTCTTCTGTATTCAACATTAGATCCCTTGAGCGCTATTTCTCGCAGGTTCAAATGACATCTTACGCTAAAGCTGCAAACTACATTGTTAATAACGATATCGAGCTCGGGAGGCTCTTCGTGGGCCTCTTCCTGAGGTTCTTCCTGGATCGCCTCGTGACGCTCTTCGGCATGACCCACGTAAGATTGAAGTTGACCATCAAACAATCTATTGTCCTTATTTTCTGTACAGGAGTTTGCATTTTCCAAATTATTAACGTCCTTTACACGATTCAGCGATTTATTTGTTAACGGTTTCATGCCATTCTCCTGAATAGCAGTTGCCATAATCTCCTGGTCCTGCAACATACAATAAAATCAACCTTTAAAATTTTGATATTCTTTATATTTGTTTAAATTGTCAGATTTCAACATTTAAAATACATTTTAATGTAATGCCTCAGTTATCATTTAATATATTTAAAAAAAGAAAAATGTTTTTACCATTGACATAAAATGTAATAAAATGCATGTGTGGTGGTGTATACAGTGATGTAACTTTACATTTTTTTTAACTGATTAAAAATCCAACATATTTGCAATTAACATATAGAAAATTTTGAATATTAAAAAGTTATACTTTGTAACTCTAATTTTAATCTCTTGGATACAAATATCTTCATTACTAGGTATCTTTAAATTTTCGGTTATTATCATCAAAGTGTACGTCCTGCTTCTATCTGTTAAAAATTAAGTAACAAATTTATGCTGATTTATGAAACATCTATTTTTAATATCGCACAGTTCGTGAAACATTCGATTACTTCAAAATTCATATAGTTCACATAAAAACTGAAATATTTCTTACACAGAACATTCTGTAGTGTGATTACACATAAATTACATTGAGAGAAAATGCATAATTGTAGGAGAGAAGTGGCTATCCTTAGCCGTTTCTAACGACTTTTAACTGTAAGCACTCTTATCACAAAATAGATTTCTATTTTCTAAATGTGGGAAATAAAATTCAAATGATGCTCAGAGAAGAAATGATACAGTAATAAAGCCAACATTAAACGATAGTTTGCCAACGAAGATAAATGCCAAAGATAATGATCTAATTTATAAAAAAAAACTTTTATCAAGGTGTACGCAAACCGTAGTAAATTATATCCCGGGTTAAAATGGACTGTTTGACATTAATAGTCACGGAAATAACGTTCATTTACGATCCCCTTCGTGCGGAGAAACTCGACTAGCGAGTAACGGCAAGCGGTGTGAACGGTCGGTTCAAATCGGCCGAATTATCGTACCCCTCGAGATACCGGTCGGCATTCGGTGGTCGGTCTCGACAGGTCGACGAGTCAGGCGTGTGCGATCGTACATCCGACCGGTCCTCGACGGGACAGGATCGCGCGAGGGAGAAGACCGAGCGGATGCTGGGGACGTATACGATGCTCGCCGCTCGCGCTACATCCGCACGTGGGGGGAAGGGCCGTCCGCGCGGCGTCACAAGACGGGCATCCTCGACGTCGAGGCGCCGACGACAGGGACGGACGAGGGTCGCGGTTGAAAAGCAACGGGGAATCGACGAGCGGCACCGGGGACGAGAGGTTTACGACCGCTTCGCGGCGCGGCATCCGAGGAGAACGTTCCGCGAGCGGAGAGACACTCGCCGAGTATTCGCCCGCCGGTACGGGGGACGGTAATCCCGAGAACGCCGGCAACTTACGAGGTACTCTACGCCAGGCGACGGCGAGATCCGTCGCGCGCAGATCAAGGGTAACGTCTTTGTTGACAAGTACCAGCGGAACGCAAAGTTGGCTCAATAACAACCATTGCCATTGTTCTCAGCCATATTCGCTAGACTGGCGACTACTGGCGCGACCCAAGCGGCCAACTGACGACCGTCGACCGCGGGGCCACTTGCGATGCAAAGATAGCTAACATGAGGGTGAAATCTCGAAAGGTGATGCGATACGAGAGGTCTGTTCTTTTTCGAACAACTTCCTGGAGGTAGAGCTCTGGGACCGTATTCTCGAGCCTGCCCTAATGATTTTCGTATGCGACTTTCTATTTGAAAGAATAGGGCCCCCAGGGGCCCTATTCTTGAATCGTTTTCATGAAACTCGCATGCGAAATTCAATGCTTTTCAAATAGAAAGTCGCATACGAAAATCATTAGGGCAGGCTCGAGAATACGGTCCCTGTTCGCTTTGGACGTTTTCGTTTAACCGTTGATACACCGATGGTTATCCCAAAAACATGGCGGAACATCGGAAACGAGTAGATCAAAAGTGCCGACAGAGAGTGAACATATACTGGCATTGTGCTTTCAGCGCGAAAATGCCCAAAGCGAACGCAGCAGCCTATAGGTTTGTTCTTAATTACTCAACTTCTTGCACCAGTGTATACACTAGTGGCACCGGTACGTTCTTAATTGCGGTGCAACATAACCTAAGGGCCGGTATCACAGTCTCCGATTAACGTGATTCTCCGATTAAACTCACTCTGCATCTCTTTCTAACTATCCCCCTAGAAAGAGACGAAGAGTGAGTTTAATCGGAGAATCACGTTAATCGGAGAGACGGAGACTGTGAGACCGGCCCTAAATCTGTTGTTTATTGCAGTGAAATTCAGTGCTGCATTTCACTGTATTCGACCAAGCTCCGATTAATTTAATCGTTGAATAGTCCACTGGAAATGACCAATCGCATTTGCTCATTTTAAGCAGATTGACAAATGCGATTGGCCATTTCCAATGGATTTAATCAACGATGAAGTTAATCGGAGTTTGATCGAAGTGATCCAGCAGTTCCACAAACGTCGATTAACTTTTAATCTTAGGTTAACTCACTTTAATTTTAAGAATTAGAAAAAGATAGAAAGTAAGTTAAACCGAGATTAAAGTTAATCTACAATAGTAGAAATGGGTAGGCCGAGTTCCACAAATGTCGGTTAATTTTTAACTTTACAAAAAGTGAGTGAATTAACCTAAGATTAAAAGTTAGCCTGCGTAGAATTGAAGAAACGAATGAAAGATAAAATTCGTAATAATTTCAATATTTATATTCGTAATATTTTTATTTGCATGTTGGTAAAATAAATATATTAAAAACATTAAAATAAAAGAATAACACAATCCCCAAAATTTGATAAAGAATCAAACAGCAATTTATTTGATAAACAGCGCATAAAAAAATAAATATATAAAAAATAAATTATAAAAGTTAAATATGGAAAATATTAAAATTCTACTCACCAATTGAAAATTTTCATTGGCGTGGTTCATAGTATTATAATTCGTGTAATTGTAACTCGTGATGTTATAATTCCCACATAGCACGTTACTCCAAGCATCATTCTTATGCTCATTACAGTTCTCTTTGAGTTTGCGCTTATAATTTACTTTGTCGTCGTACACATTTTTTATGGAATCATTTTTGTAATTAATTTCGTTGTACATGTTATGGTTTATTTTGTTTTTCGAATCGTTATTCGTTTTGTTGTCGCGCGTATTAGACTGCATGTCAGTTCCGTTTAAAAACTGTAAAATTCCGTTCGGGTCCCAGAAGTCCATCGGGTCCATCGGCTCCATTTTTACCGTCGTTTCACTTTGCTATACAAAGCACACTCAATTACAACGTATGTACTAGTCGAAGTTTCCAATACGACTGATGCGTTTAACGACGACTTCGAGCACTTTTATAAAATTAGCCCCGTAGTAGAGTTCTATGGGAAAAGAACCCCGTGATCGGTATTGACGGCTGCTGATTGGCTCCGTCATTTTCTCTATACATTTTAAGTGTGTTCCATAGATGTAGTATAGATAGCGTTTTCGACTGGAGTGAATTTCCTCACTTTTATTGGGCGCGTTCAGCAGACACAACTGTTGAGGTCGTCTTATTAACACTCTGCGTTGATTGGTTGGTTCTAAAAGTAAGAGCCAATCACCTTCGACTACTACTCAGCGGCTTGGTCTGCTGAATGCGACCATTTTTACCTCGTTTCAAGATACATATATGTACATACATACTCCCTGGTCAAAAGCAGTCTTAAGATTCCATCGCATTGTTTTAATGAAATGACTGTGTTACGTCTTTAAGACGTAATTTAAAACGTAATTTAAGACGGTCTAAATAAGAATGGACTATAAATACCGGCCGATAGGTGTTACGTATGTATTATGTATTATGAAATTAGAAACATTCGAAAACTTAAATGAAAGAGAGAGAGAGAGAGAGAGAGAGAGAGAGAGAGAGAGAGAAACAAGTGACTGGTATTATATTAAAATAAAAAATTGTATAATTCTGATAATTTTTTGATCTGTAATAACAATAATAAGTAAACCTTTTGTCTAATTAAATAGTAATTTTTATATGCCGCCTTATGGGTTTTTTTAAATGTTTTGTGTAATAAATGTATCAAAATAATTACAATGTCAACATTTATTGAGCGGTAATTGAACGTAAAAATTGGAAAATTTTTTATTGAAAAAGACTTATGAAGACTTATAAAGACTGATGTTAGTTTTTTTATTCTATGCGTGAAGATTGCATAAACTTAACAAGAAACAAAATTTTGGTAAGATGTATATTATATGTTTCTTGAGCTGATTGATGATATTTTATATTAAAAATTATTATCATGCCACCTGTCGTGGGCAGGCAGGTAGACCAGTTTGAACAGAAAAGTCTCTTACCGTTTTGCTATTACTGCAATAAATAATGAAAAATTAATTAATAAAAAGCCGCGTGCGTCCGCGGAATTCGGCGAAAAGAGACAGTCGCATATGACGCACAATGGTAAAAGACTTTTCTATATTCGGTTTAATGCGCTCGACTACCTGCCTACGAGAGCACGCTAATTATATGAAGTTACTTTGTGTAAACCTTTACCTTTGTGTCTTTGCAACCTTTTATGATTTTAAAACTACCTGAATCCTAAATTGAGAAAAATGGGC